TGGCTCCAAGGTGGCTAGCGCAGCTTGCAGTTGCGTTGCATTCGAATAGATTCGAATTCGCATCTGCACAAGTGCTATTGTCGTTTGCTCTCTATTATGGTGATCCGCGGAAAGTCTGGAAGGCCTCATTCAGGCGGAGCCTGAAACTCCATCAGAAGATGATTTGTCAGCACATTGTCCGTTGTACAGTTCCGACGTCGCATACGTCCCTTAAGAAAGTCTATACCTCGAGACTTTCTCTGTATCAATAGTCTACTTCCTTATTTACCCCATCACTTCCAGCTCGAACTATGTCGGACGGAGAAGAATGGGAAGACGAGCTACTTGCTCTCGCCACTCAAGATGATTCGAAGAAAAAGGCCTCCAAGAAACGCCGCAGTTCGTCCTCTGGGAAGGAACCGTCCTCTAAGAGGCGGAAGGCAGAGTTAGTCCTGATCTTACATTTGCGATAATCCGTTACTCATCTAAAAACGATAGCATGAATGTCGAATCAGATTCTGACATGGAACCTGAAAGCGAAGAAGACGATTCCAATCCTTATCCACTCGATGGAAAGTATAAGAATGAAGGAGATAGATCCTGGTATGCAGTCTCTATAATGGTCTAGCCACCTTGGCTGATGTCCGTAGGCTTATGGGACTCCCTGAGCTGGAACGCGAGGATATCCTTGCTCGTCGCATGGAGGAACTGCAAGAGCGTTATGAAAGCCAGAATCTTGATTCACTGATCAAGGCGCAAAATGGGAAAAGCGGAGGAGATGCTGTGGCTCATGCTGCTAAACGTAAGTTGTTTCTCAGTGCGGATGGGTTTGAGTTGGTACTGACGTACTGTTTCAGGCAAACATACCGCTCGTGGCTCGACCAAAGAGAAGTCTCGCAAGCTGGATGAGCTGAAAGCTAGACGGAAAGCGAAAGAAGATCGGGCTCGCGTAAGACTATTTTTCTGACCTTTCTTACTTCGGCTTACATCTCTCTTTAGAATCGAACAGAGAAAGCAGACTCTCCGACGGACCGCAGAAGAAGCTCTTCTTCTGAGCCTGAACTCTCCGATGTCACAGATGAAGATGGCGAGATCAACAAAGACGAGGAGGAAGACGGGAAGTATCGCGACAAGTTCGAATCTCGGCCATCGGACAAGACAGATCTGAAGCCTTCGTATGATGATTTCCAAAAGTTGCGTGTGTCGCGTCATCAGATATCCAAATACTATTACAATCCATGGTTTGAAAACTGGATAACCGGTAAGTTGGCAGTGCCTTCTCGAAGTCCTCATTAACAAAATGATATTAGGTTCATGGGTGCGGTATTTGATTGGCGCTGATGAGACCACAAGGCAGCCTATATATCGAATCTGCGAAGTATTAGGTATGTGCTTGCTTATGTTTAGCACGGACCTAGTGACTTATTTGTTGTGTAAGGGGTTGTATCTAATCCTGTCAAGGCGTACAAGGTCAATGACATTGTTGTCGACCGCCTCCTCGAGTTGAAGCATGGGGACGCCGTCAGATCCTTCCCTATGGACAAGATATCTGATAGTCCGTTCTCGCAGGTAAGTAAAGATGCATACATGATCCCCCTGCGACGCCTGACGGCCATCTCAGAAGGAGTACGAACGCATTATCAGAGTTATGGAAGACGAGAAGGTTGAATTTCCGAGCCGGCGTTCGATACAGCGGAAGGTTGAGCAGCTGCGAGAGCTTCCTCGTAGGCCGCTGACCGAGGTGTGTCCTAACACTGTGCTATGTCTGCTGTTATTAATGTTCTTCGCAGGCTGACATCACAGCCATGATCGCTCGCAAGAATGCTCTAAACCCATCCAGCGTTGCCGCGTCACAAATGTTCAACACTCGCGTAGACCTAACCCAGAAAAAGAACCTCGCTGTAAAGCGCCATGACTACAAAGAAGCGGCTGCTATCGATAAAGAGCTCCAAGAGCTCGCCGCTGCGCATCCTGATCAACGCAAAGAGCAGGCCAAAGATACCCAAGCGGAGCTACTAGCCCGCGTTAACGAACGCAATCGCAAAGCGAATCTCGAGCAGATCCGGAAAGCGGAAGCGGAAGCCACAATACGCAAGCGTCAAGAACGACGAGCCATAGCTGCTGCAGCCGCTGCAGGCCTTGCGCCTCCAGCTCCAAGCGACGTCAGTGCACGTGTTCCAACCGTAGCGAAGACACACCATCAATCATTATCAAGGTTGGTCATTCATATTCTTGTTGTACACTGAAGTGAACGTTCGCCTTCTTTTCACCTTTCTTGTGCTGTGTCTCTATCAGGGTGAACACGCCCCTGGGGACACCCAAGTTGGGGGACAGTGATAGCGCAGGCAATCGATCTATCTCGCCGTTGCCGCCATTAAATGACATTGAAAAGGCAAATACGCGCCCTGCGAACGGGACTTTGGAAGCGAAGATTATTGATTCGATCCAGATTGACCTTGGCGATTTCTAATGCGATGAAGTTTTGTGTGTGAATTTGCCTGGATTTTATAATTCGTATTCGCTTTGTCTCTTTCTCTTCTTGCTGATTGTATCTTGGAGGTCTTGCTCGGTTGTTTTTTTGCAGGTTTACTTCTTTTCTCGCAGTCTTTGAAACGCATTCGCATACACAATCCAATTTATACTCGGTTCATACATACGAACTTATTTATCTCTCAGTCTATATATATCATGTCTGGTCTGTATTATTTAGAATTTTAAAGGGTGCAGTCGCTCTCCATTGTGTTTTTAGATTGTCAAACTGTGTGTATGAGTAGATAATTCGTAATAAACAGATTTTACTAGTATGCGTCATGACCGTGTCTGTTCTGAACTGTCAAATTAGCAAGCCTGGAATGCGATGAATCAAGCATCTAGGACCGTTAAAAAGTGAAATAGACGCCGTGTCCGGGGACACTTCTATCCCATAGACTTTAAACCGATACACACCATGAAGTCATCGTTGTTCCAAGGCAATGGATACAAACCATAGCTGAATAAATACAAAAGAGCCGGGCATGGCCAAGAGGAAGACCTATAGGTTAATTGGCATTGCGAGAGAATTTTAGACACTTGTGGGATACTGATCAAGGGCATTCGACTATCGCGGGAGATTAATATTTGTTCAAAGAACAGAAAAACAATAGACCACAAGCGCTTCAAGGTACAACACAGGAAATATAACGGAAATCGGAAATATTGATAATAAGGTGATGATTCAGAGAGTAATGAAAAAAAATGTGGCAGGTCCAGCGATTTGTGAATCCTATGGAAATAAGGATAAAGATAAATTCCTCCAAAGAAACACCACTATCATTAAACATGTGAATAAAATAACTGGAACGAATCGCTGTGTAAAACGTTAAAATCTCTCAGGCAGAGAATTGAACCCTGGTCTCGCGCGTTGTAGAGTTGAACCCCTTGACAGACGCGAATACTAACCACTATACTACCCAAGATACTGAACTAGACCCCGTGATAGGATGGAGCCGGAGCGGACCATTCACAAGGAGAGGGAGGAGGGCCCGGACGTGGAAAGGGATGAATCTGCGAAAGCGTTGGAGCCGATCCTACCAGCAAATCTGAGTACGTTTCCCAATAGGGGTCTGTGACTATCCTGCGCCCAAAAGCTAGTTGGTCACTATTTCCTCGATCGGGTATTACTTGTTAAGGATAGTACTTTTTCATTGGAAAAATCTCCGAACGGTGAAAATCAGAAATGCACTATGGAGATAGCGATCCCCAAAAGGCTCGATCGTGTATTTAACATCGAAAAGATATTTTTTAACTGATGTATCATTATTAGAGCGTACCAATGTAACGGAGCATCCGCGATGGGGAGGCATCCGCTTACCATTTTTATTGGCGCGGTAGCTCAGCTGGGAGAGCGACAGACTGAAGTTAAATCTGTGACGTCTGAGCGACTGAATGACCGGTGAGATTGAACCTGAACAGAAACACGGGTGAGGTTGGAACCAGGTGAGCACGACGGAGAGAAATCTCTTACTGGGTGAGGTTGAACAGCGGTAATCTGTTGGGTGAGATTGAACAAGATTGGAACAGCCTGAGCGTGACGGTGAGGTTGAACAGTGGTATCGTGATGGGCGAGATTGAACCGGTGAAGTTGAGTTGACCTCATGACGTTGAACAGAACAGCCTGAGTGGCTGAATGACACCCTCTCGGTGAGATCGACGAGGCTGAACAGTGGCCATGGAACCGGTGAGGTTGAACAAGATGGCCGGATGACCTCTTACCGGGTGAGACTAAACAAGTGAGGCTAAACCTCTTACTGGGCGAGGTCGAATACAACGGACGAGGTTGAACAGCACCTTACTGGGTGAGGATGAACAGTGGTGCCGGCGAGAATGAACCTGACTCCGAAACCCTCTTACTGGGTGAGATTGAACAAGAATCAAACCTCTTACCGGGGTGAGGTTGAACAAGATCGCCTCTTTCGTCGAGATTGAACAGCGGCCGTGCGCGTGACGGGTGAGATTGAACATGAGTCAGATGAGGTTGAACAAAAGGTGATGAGTCCGTGAGATTGAATACAACATGGGTGAGGATGAACAGCGCCGTGATGGGTGAGATGGGCTAAACGGGTGAGGTTGAACAGACGGGCCGAAAACCTCTTACAGCCTCTGCGGGGGCGTGAGCGCCGTTCTTGGCGGGACCTACGGGCGCCTATTAACGTCACGCGGCTCGCACCCCCGCCGCGGGATTGAACATGCTGCGCGGGAACCTCGCTGCCATTCAACCCCATAATATTTTGGTAAATCCTTTCTATTGTGTGTTTAATTTTTGACAAGCCTAATTATCTGCTACAACCATGGTTGGATCATAGGTCGTTTCTGAACAAAACCATAACGTCTAAGACTCAGAATACCTTAAGCTTGGGCGAGATGGCATATATCGACCAGCGACCGCGGATTCTCTTGTGCATGGCGTACTGTGCGCACAAAACAAATATCTTTCATTCGGGGAGCAAAATATCTCATAGATAACCTCAAAAATAACATAAAAACTCTCAGGCGAGGATTTGAACCCCGGTTTCTCGCACACGCTTGAACTTCGACTTAAACCCTTAGTCTGGCGGACGTGAATACTAACCACTATACTACATAAGATATTTCTGTATAGAAATACGGTTCTATTCCCCAGATCCAGGAATTGCTAAGGGAAGGAGTCAGGGCTCAGAGGTAGCGAGGAGCTGAGATCGACCAGAAGCTAGTTTTCTCAGAATCGAGTAGATACTTACACCGGCAAGACTGCAGATCCCTTCTCTTTTCTATCCAACTGTAAAAAAAAAAAAAACGATAGTCAAAAACAAAATCTCTCAGGCGGGGAATTGAACCCCGGTCTCGCGCGGGCTTCGACCTTGGATTTAAATCCTTAGCCTTTGCGTGACAGGCGCGAATACTAACCACTATACTACCTAAGATGGGTTACAAACATCATTAATGCCAATTGCCTCTACACCCTTTGCCAGCTACACCGAAATTACCAATAACTTATAAGGCAACGAGAGGGTGATAGAGAGATACATATTCACGGAATAGGTCAAGCCTGCCAAGCTGCAAATATGGATTCGCCTACAAACCAACTAAATATTCAATTTGCCATCCCAGATTGTGAAAGATGTTCCCAGGCTCTACAACAAAGGTTTCTTGAGCTTATAAGAACATGTTCATATATACAACGGACTTACATAAATGCAGTATGCCCATTCAATGAATAAATTAGACTTTATCCAGCTAGGACACCCAAATATGCAAGGGTTACTCAATATACAGAGAAACCACGGTGGGTTCTGCATTCATGCTGTTGAATCCATTGCATGGCCACTTGAAGTCTCCCCGAATTCTGCAAATTTCGAAGATCCTCAATATACTCCAGGTCATCTTCGAATGTGCTAGGCTTATAACAGAACATCAAGCTCTCCAATGCGCATCCGAGTCGTCGACGCCCAGGATAGTCCAAGCGAGACCAAACCACATCCATGACTGATTTCAAATCGGTTGGATATAAATCGTCCAATCGTAGGCTTCGTAGATTAGGAAGAATGCACGACACTGAGTAATGTCGTGGATTGTCGTCAATCACTAACCGTTTCAGGATTGCATTGCAGAGTGGGGGACTCGCATAGCTGATATTCAATATTTCTATTGACGGCGTCGCCTGCAAAAGACGTATTGACTCGGCGATCGACGTGGTAAGGTTGAGTTTTAGTAGATTGCACGCGGACCGCTTGAATAGAGAAATGAGATCATTGGGAGCGTTTGTCGAAATAAACAGTGTACTACCGTAACGGCAAACTTGGAGCTCCGTTAGGTTAGGGAGTACCAGGTAATTGATAGAGTCCGGATCCTCACCACCGACACATAGCTTTCGTATCTGGGGAAGCTTGAGCGGCACTAGATCGACCCTTTGAGGCTGCCAGGCTGAGTCAGGTACATTTAGAGATAAGTTCTGAATGTTCAGTGATTCCAGATTTTCAGCAGCTCGCAGAATTTCGAGGTATAAGTGGAGATTCGTCGAAAATCCCAGTTCCAAGTGAGTCAGTTGGGACCATATGTATCCATCAGGGCCAATCGATCTCTGTATCTCTCCCCGATAAAGTGCTAGCCTCTTCAACTTGGGAGTATACCCAAAACCCCACGCGAGGCTATACATATTGCCACTAATCGTGAGCGACTCCAGATTTGACATATCCGCCTTAGTAAACCAAGTAAAATTTTCTTCCATGTCATCAAATGTGAAGGAAGCAGTTCTCCAAAGATGAGAAGAGGCTGTAAATATTTTGTGAATCCTGGCCACACGCTCTCTGTATACCCGAGGAGCAACATAGGTAAGGTCGAGCAAAGCACCTCGACTTTGTATTAAAGCTGTCTCAAAAATATCAGAAACCACATCAATTTGCCAATAGCGGACTTCCGTCACGGTCCCATTGAACTGTATACGGGACCACAGAGATGCGCACGCAAAGCCGACGGCCCGCCATCGCTTGCAGACCGCCGTTAACGTCCAGGCAAAAGTACCGTATTGGGTAACCGGACCTGCTGATTCCTCGAATATTCGCATGAGGATATCGTCAGGCAATCGTCGAATAGGTGCGAAGATGGCCCGTTGGCGGAAGATGTATTCCTTGACATGAGCCTGCGCAGCCCTTAGGCGGCCCATGGTAGTCATCAGAAGTTGCATGTCCTTTTGGTAAGATACCATATGGTCATTCGCAGTAGAAATGAGGCGCTGAAGCTCTTCTTGCTCTTGTGCAGAGGGGAATCCTTGTTCTGTATGAAATTGCAGAGGAAAGTGCGAACTTAAGAAGTCCTCGTTGAAGTGGCTTTGAAGCTCAACAATTTCTACGAAAGGCCTATACGGTGGTGAGTTATTATTAGTAATAGTCGATGAAAGGTGTGTTCCTACATTGTGGCGTTTGACAATGAGTGGTTTCCGTCTGACGATGATCACGTAAGGCGTGGGAGATTATCTCGCGCGTCCAGAAAAGACTCTAAATTTATTTCTTTCCACGCAATACAACGTATGATACGTAATAGAAGCAAATAGAAAGAATATCTGAAGCTTGCTAGTTTATATACTTACTTGCAAATCGCATAAAACGACAGTTATAGGGAATTATAGCAGGGATAGCCTGACCTCAAGACAAAGGCCGCTGTCGTAATTACTTAAATTTTAACGAATGAAATACAAAAAGTAAAACAAACAAACAAAAAGATCTCTCAGGCGGGGAATTGAACCCCGGTCTCGCGCGATCTAGAGTTACACCCCTACTCTGACAGGCGCGAATACTAACCACTATACTACCTAAGATGATCTTCCATCAAAATAACATCCTATTTCCCGGGCTCCGGAGTTGGTCAAGAAAGAATTCATCCCATCATACTTTAGATAGTGCCCAGTTCCCTAAAGAGTAGAGTTCGTAGAAATCTTAGGATATGTTCTTCATCACATATGTAATAGTCCATGTTGATTGAATCTCTCCTCTATCATGAGTGACTCCAAACTTCCTCACTTCTCATCAACTGCGCGCTCACGAGTTACTCTCACAAAAACGAACACTCACATTTGCGCCTCCTGTCAAAGTTTTTCCCACACATCTTGTCCATCCAGAACTTCCATGATACGTTCAATTGATGGATGCAAACGCGGTAAAGGCTTCTTCTGGAGTCTTTCCTTGTTGAAGTCGTCATCTAGGACGATGACAGCCACAATCTCTTCGGTGCCATTTAGACAAGCAGGAGTCACGCTCACGTACGCATCGTCTGGCAGTGCTGTTTCAAGGATGGCATCGACGCACGTATTAGCCCTGCCCTTGTCCGATGGGTCGAACTTAAACTTGGAGGCCAGCTTTTCGTCGCTGAAGGCGTAACCTTTTACGAAGGGCCCTAAAAATGTGGCCATCGTCGACAAGCTATAAAGGTTCGTGGTTCACTAGACTCGGATGGATGGCGAACCTTTCCAGTGGCAAAATTTAGTGGCTCGCTGGGATAGTGTGAAGTTTCCGAGCTCCGACTCTTTCGCCTGCTTTTTTGTCTTTTTCTTTTTCTTTTTAGGATCAACGAGATACAGTGATCTGGCATGCGCATGCACAGACGCACTTTAAAGTTTATGTCCAATCCTCTCAGTCTATTTTCCCCCCTGAATTACCAAAAGACAAAGACAGAAAATAATCAAAAACCTCTCAGGCGGGGAATTGAACCCCGGTCTCGCGCGGACTTAAACTTCGAAATAAAGCCTCAGCCTGACAGGCGCGAATACTAACCACTATACTACCTAAGATGGAGAACCATGACTGTCAACGCAGCCAAGGGTTAAGGCCTTTTCTAGCTTATCGCCATCACTGAATGGGACCATTCTGAGAGATGGAAGGTATGCGACCGAGCAGAGAGGGCCTTCTTCTAACTAATGAGCCTGAAAATTCCCCTTTTCTTCGCGGTGTTTAATCCTCGTTGATGTATAAAAACGCACTTACCTGTTATCCTTCGAAGCTTTCCCCCTTTATAATCATGTGTTCCGTTAATTCCATCTCTGGGGTGTTAAGAAGACTTGCTAATATGATGATATCTCTTCCAACCAAATTCCTATGTGAATCCTCAAAGGCCGCCACATGACCTAGATCCCCGCAAATCCTGGCTTTCACTGACAGTTCTTGGAAATAAATCAGAGTATGAAAGGCACATGGTTAAATACCCTGATATGCAACCATCACTTCTCCGTTGATTATGAGTCCGCCATGAAGAGAATTAAAGAAGTCGAGTGGACGCCTTATGCTGTCTGCATAGACAAGTGATATATGGCATCTCGTATGCTTCGCAAGATTGTCGAAATCATGGATTGATTCTGCTGGTTGGAGATCTACATCCAGAGGATGAGATAATATATAGCGTGTAGCACACGGAAGAACAAGATTCGTGGGTGGACGTGAAATCAAAGTCTGCGTAAGCATTATCCAAATCTGGCATATGATTTAGCTCATTTAAAATATAAGTAACGATTTCCAGTGGCGGAAATCGAGCGAAGACGAGCAAACGTATGTAACTATAATCAGGCGATTTCGGGAAATAAAAGCCATTCGTATTGTCAGATAAGCAAAAGCAAAACAAAAACTACCAAATTTAAATGACATATGTAAGTATAAAGCATGATTTTCTGAGAAAGAAAACATGCACACCTTTACTATAACAGACAGTAGTCTGGAGACGTCTCCGAAAGTCTGAAGAAATAAGGGGAAAGTAAAACTGGAGAATAAGTGTAGAACTAGTGTTGCCGCTGTCCCAGACCGTTTCCCACGTCGCTTACAAGCGAAGGAGCAATCACTCTTTCCTGAAATTTCATTTTGGACATCTACAACCTTTCTATTTTCGTTTTATATACTCCTTTTTCAGCCAAAAAATCTAGCAGCCATTTGGTCCCGGTTCGGTCCCCGGGGCTAGACCGAACTGCGGCAACACTACGTAGAACCCTGGGCCTGCGGAGGGGATATTCAACAAGTAACCCAACACGTAGTTCTTGAAAAATTGGTTGCAATATAAGACGAGGACAACATGAAATAAGAGTGCAGAATTCAACGTCGTTTACAAACCGTTGATCGAGGAGTGCGCAGAAG